ATCAGGACATTTGGCTAAAATTGCTTGCTAAAAATAACTCATTACCGCCTAAGAAATGAAAGAAACAAAAAATTGTATGGAGCAGCACTATTTACAATAGCGATTAAATCGAACGTTTTATCTTTTTTTTTCCCCTGGCTTCTTGGAAAAAGCGTATCGGTGCCATAATCAAGAATGAAATCGCATGAGAACCACTGCGATACGGTTAATCGACACTTCATTCGACGGGATCGTTTTTGTCGCGTCCGCGAAACGGGACCGTTAATTTCTCGCTCCGCGCCGTGAGATTTAATTTCGTAATTTTACGAGCGGCACGTAAGAGATGGGCGCCTCTTTCCTTTGACGAGAGAGATCATGCCGATCCGCATCGAAATAGGTATATCTCGATCGATGAATCGAGGATATTCGCTCTCGCAGCCAACAACGACGACTGACTAGCGCCCACACTGGTGAATCGGATGTCTAACTGAAATCATTTCAGATTGATTTACAACTGAGATGCGTTCTTTATCGATCGTCCTGTTCGCGCTCACGTGATCGCTTTAGATCGCTCCGCGAGCGCTCACAGCCACCGTTGCCATTACCTGAGTTGATCTTTCGATCTTTCAACGCGATATCCATATCACATTCGGGACTGAGAACTCAAACATTTGCCGTAGCTTTATTTCCTTATTTTTAGCGTTAAATATCTTGGAGAAAATTATGTAATTTTAATGAAATTCAAAGTTAATATACGAAGTCTAATTTATTAATTTTAATTTAACAGGTTTATTTTTTATGATAATATTGGCGCAATTGCCATCTTTCAAAGAATAGTTTTAAATATCTGCCATAAAAAAATTTTCTCATAATAGCGATGTATTCGTAAAAAATTTATCTCATTTCTGTCGATGCCGATCGTATCTCCATAATACCGAATCCTTTTTTTCTCACGGATAGAGCCATCAGATCTCGCAATTGGTTCTTTTTTCCGATCGTATTTGGCGAACTAACGAATGGCAACGCTGTTCGGACGGTCGATCTGCTGAATGACAGAGAGGCAATGCGTGGAGAAGAGATCGGACGGTCGTATCGATGCATCAACGAGAGGAGAGGAGCGCACCTCGCGCTCGCGCTCGATGACTCGGCCCGATCTGCCATCTAGATACCGTGCGCGATATCGCTGCGAGGAACTCTGAAAATCCGCGGGCGGACTCTCGTCGTGGCCGAGCTATATAATTTCAAAAGGCTCTCTCTCCCGGCGTCTACAGCGGGTGATTTATGTAGGACGCGTCGCGCCCGTTGCGGCATATAGAAACCGCCGCGCCGTGGAGATACCGAGGTGGAGCCGCCGCGCTGCGCAAGATCGCACTCCGGATAATCCTGTAAACTGCAGTATATTTCGCCTTTACAATCCACCGGCATTTCTCTCACGCCTGACACCGCGTCGCATTTTAATATTGCGACGAAATCGCGCGAAATTTCTCACCGCACTTTACTAACAGACGGCGAGTTCCTTACCACTCATCGCGAAAATATGATCCTTAATCTGACGAATATGAATAACGAAGACATAAATATTTAGCGCATTTATACATATATAGTCTATATAATTTCCATTATTGTAATTGAAGATTATAAATAAACTGATATATTGTTTTTATATCGATTGATATAATTAGTAATGTAAACTTTTACGACTCATTATCGCAACACATTTCAAAATCATAAGAGTCATTTTATTTAATATTTAGCTTAACAATTTCTCTATAGAAATTCGAGACATATATCTTTTTAATATTCTAAGAAAAAGATATTCGATATTTAAAAATGGAAAGCTTGATGTTTAACTTTTAATTTGATAATGATTCTTGTCGGTAACTACGTCATATTATGGCATTTGATATGAGAAAGAGTATATATCTAATATCATTAAACTTGTATAATGCGTCGTAGCTCGGCTACACAGGAGAAAATCTCTTTTGCCATTACTCTTTTTTAATTCGAGTTGCTTTTTCCTTCTTCTTTTTTATTATGCGTTTATGTTTACGTATACGGTCGTAACATTGATAAGTATTTTAATAAAACATTTTTTAGTGGACTTGAAATTAAATCTTTAACAATAACATAAAAAATTTTTCTTTTAGCTTTAATTACATTTTGTATCAACCAAGGAGTTAATTATCAAATTACTTGATATCAAAAATATAAACTTTGCTCGATAAAAAAAAATGTTCATCACTGAGGCGATTTTCTGGTAGTTACCAGGCACACATTTTGTTCATGCAGACACGTTTTCTGCTCAGCATCTGTAATTTCACCGTCTCGCTACGACGCGCACGCGAATGTGAAAACAACCCGCCCTGCATTCTCATTTTTCCTCGCCCGCCGAGTTATCAGTCTTGCTCGCGCGCCGCACGGATCTCGTTCTTGCATAATATACGTGGCCACTCGCGATTTTATGCTTTTGTCGTAGGAAACATTAGTAAACGCTCGATAAGGCATTTGAATAAAGTATGGGCCATTCGTTTCGATATGATGATATCAGGTTTCCGTAAAGCATTACGAGGCCTGTTTCGCCGATCGATTCGAGTCACGCGCAAAATCCGATCGTAATTTATCATTTCCGCACGTACTTAGAGCGATTGGAATGTTAAATAATGTAATTTGTTAAACTTTTCTTTTTTATTTATTTATTTTTTTTATCCAGAAATGCTTTTAACAATTTTAACTTTTTAACGTGATAATGTTTTTTATACATGTTCATAAATACGTCATTATTATTGTACCAGAGAGAATATTAAGAAACGGAAATGCTTATTGCTCTTAGCGCTTCTTATTTTACCAATGTCCCATTAGATTTGTTATCCACTTCTATCCCTTTTTAGCGATAGAAGTGAATTATGATTTCCTATGCAAAACATAACGTCCTCGAGTCGAAGACGTTTTGACGCGGCCGCTTGCAGGAATGCGGCGATCAAACACGGGAAGTGCGTACGCGGCGTGTGCGTGATGTTTCGTTGAAGGAAAAAAAACCGCGCCGTCGCGAATTCGTATAATAAGCAAACCTCGCGTTTACGCTATGTAATGACCGAGTAGCCAGTCGGCAGGCGCGCCTTCTCGCAGGAAGGAAAACCGACAAACACACGCGCGATCAGCATGCAACGCCCCGATCGACGTGTCCGGCCGACTTTTTTCCAATTTTCGTGCCACCGCCGCCACCACCACCACCACCACCATCGGTCGCGTTCCCGAATGGCGATTGTAGTCGTTAGATCGGCACCTGCTCTCGCGAGACGGCCCGATTCTAATTATAATGATCGCCGAGCGCGCGGATACTGTTTGCATGGTCGCAGAGACGACGGTAGCGAAAAAAAGAGGCGGTGGGCGGTTCGCATGCCGAGCGGCTCGTGAACGGCTCTAATTTCTATCTTGGGCTTATACGAGCGCGCCCGTTTCTCTGTTTCCGTCGGCCGCGAGGTCTCTCGGTATCATTAGAGTCGGCTGCATCGACTGCCGACACGTTAATTAATTGCACTCGCCGCCCGTTCAGGCA